TGTATCTTTAAAATTTACACTTAATCTATTAATAAAGTTTATTGGAGCAAGACTCCGTTGGATATAAAAAAAAAAAATTATTAGTACAAAATCGAGAATGGATGTCTTTTTTATTTATATTTTAAAATTCAGAATGCACGTATGTAGTGCAGTGTCTTCGATTTTTTTTTGCATTTTAATAATTTGGGGGGTATAAAATTGTAATAAACTAAAAAAAAAAAAACTATGAGCCAACTGTAAAAATGATAAAAATGATTCATAACTATTAGTTTTTGACTTTTATTCTTAAAAATACTTCATAAAATAATTTTAAATTTATATATAATATCTGGTTGTTTCCTCTTGACCTATTTTTGATAATTTTTTCTTATTGATGCGTTGATAATTATAGTATTCCTTAAAATTATTACCTGTTTCTTCCAATATATGCATTTGGAACGTAAGTAACGAAGGGTAAATTTAAAAATGTAGTGAAACAAAATTTTTAGATCATCGATCATTAATTATTTAACTCGCATATATTATTAAAGAAATCACGGTGATACCCTAGAACCATCAAACAAAAAAGTATAAGGAACAAAAAAAACCTAAGCACACCTGCCATCTTTATAATATTTCTTCTTGTTTAGCTTCATCCTCTGTCATCCAAAAAAAAGTTTTCGTGCCAGGATGAATAAACAGTTATCCTGGATGATGGAGGATAATTTATTCAAATAGTGACACATATCATCCTCTATCATCCCCGTGACTCCGGCTATTTTCGTGCCGCCTCAGTATATATCAAAGCTGTGATATATAATATTGGTTGTGATTCTACAGGTTGTATTTATTTTATAATAAAAGTATTGGTGACAATCATCACTAGTGACAAATAGATTTATCGTGTTGGAATTTTGAACTTGTTATTTATACACTTTGCATTTACTTTTAAATATGTCAATTTATTATTTTTTATGGCCAGTGAAACTTCGATATAATGAGATGATGATAGGATTGAACAAGCTAATTTTTTATCACAAAAAATTTATATTTATTTATTTTATTAAAAAACATATTTGTAACAATATAAAGGTTTTTTTACAATTTTTAAAAAGAAATTTAAGTTTCGTATTAATCTTTAACAAAAACACTTGATGTAAATTAAGATTTTTTTGCGCCATATAAAAATAAATAAATAAATAAAGTAGTTATAAAATCGGTAATAAGATTGTAATTCAATTCTTTTTAAGAATAAGTTGATACGTAACTGATAATATTATAAACAACTATCAATTTATTTATTATTTCAATTTTGTACACTATTCAATTAACTTGATACATTAAGTCTGTTCTACGAAAATTTTCTTTATGGAATTTCGGAAAGAAGTTCATTACAGATTTTAAAATACAATCAACTTCTATAAAATATTATTCAAAAAAAATATCACATCGCGTGAGAATGAAAATCGTTTCCTTTATAAGGCTTTTACAAAACAAATAACGAAATGGTGATCTTTAAAGGAACAAATTAATCGTCACATTTAGACTTGACACTATGGCTATGGAACCTTTTAAATCATGTCATGATTTACTAAAAAATTCCAACGCACAAAAAATAAAATGATTTATTTTAAATTTTACATTTATAAGATTTTTAAGATAAAAGTACGGACGAACGCGGACGTGGGACAGTAAAAATGCGTAAAACTGTTTGCAACTCTATATTATGGAGTAATTCCATGGAAATTAAAAAAAAAAAGACGTAATTCCGATCCTTACATTCAATTACAATGATAATTAATTTCGGATTATTTATTTTTCGACTTCATTAAAGAAGTGATCTGAGTAGGTGAAGTAGCAATATTGTAATTGCATTTGTAATTTTTTTTTTCATTTCATTATCATTATTAAATATATTTTTTGTTTATTTATATTTAAAGAGGTTGTTATCTAAATATCATAATTTAAATTAAGTCATCAAAAGTTTGATTCTTATAATAGTATATCATCATCAACATCCCTATCATCATCATCTAGAAATAACACTTTTCATGTTTCTTCTTCTTCACCACATAACATTACCCTACTCCTTCACATCATCACCTCCTTCTCCAATTTTAGATTGAAATAATTTAAATATACAAAATGTAACGGAAGAAATACTTATCCTTAGATCCAAGTGAATGTTCAGATGGAATTCAATTACATTTTTTAGGTGATGATCTTCTCCACCAAATAATCCAGGAAATGACCACTTCGCTTACTATGACTACCACTTGCAACCATTGATTAGAATTACCACTATATTATGCATTATCTTTATCCTCATCTTTCTCCTCAGTTGTCCCTCGGTTGTCTCTTCGGTTTCTTCTCCATCTTTTCCCTATCCACCAATAAAGAAAAACTAACGCTGATATTAAAAATCCACCAAGAAGTGACCAAGCTATTACTAGATATTTGGTAGATGATCCTTCAGGAGGTGTATTGGAGGAAAATACATTTGTCCATGATAAAGTGTTTAGGTCAAGAATGAAGATATTACTTAATGACGTGTTCTACAAAAAATATACACACGTATAAATAATAATGAATGATATGATTAATGAATAAAATTTCTAACAAATTAAGAAAAATCAAAAGAAAAAAAAAAATAAATAAAGGAAAAACTTACTGATCTTGATAGACCTAAAAATTGAAAAAAAAAGAAATAAAGTAAGCAATCATTAGTGAATTATTATAATGAAATGATTATAAAATATAGCGAATGATTAATATATAGAATTGAAATACATACCATAAGTTCCAATAATATAATTTCCCACTAAAGTAAATGTATGACCATATCGTGATCCAGGATCTGGACCCATAATATTAAGTTTTTCCCATGTTAATGATAAAACGTTCAGTCTGAATAAATTATTCGTATCTTCAATTCCACTTTCGGCAAAACCACCATGAATTATTATTGTATTATCAACTAATTGATTAAATATTATTAAATATTTATTATTAAATTAATGTTGTTAATGGGAATAAATAATTATGATAAATAAAGTATATATAATATATAAAATACACCAAATCTACATACCTGCAACGGCTCGATGTGCTCTACGTCGATCAGGTATAGTACCAGTTGCTTGCTATATATATATATATTGAATATAAAATATTGTTATTATTAAAAGAATCAACTTTACTTATCTGAATAAGAAATAATCCTTACCAACGTACTCCATGTACCATCTTTGGTATTATAAACACCAATTGATGACATATTTACATAAGATCCTACATCATAATAATGTATTCCACCAATAACGTAAATCTTTCCATCCAAAAGTGTTGCGGTATGATCATAACTAGTCACATTTGCGATAATATAATTAGAAATAGCAATACCAGATTCAATACTATTTATATTTATAGTAACTATTCCTCGATCCTGTATTGCTCCTTGTGTTAGAGTAGTTCCACCAATTATATATGTATTATTATTATCTGAAGTCAAACCAAGTAAAATTCTACTTGAAATAGTTGTGGATGACTGAAACATTTTAGATGATTCATCTGTATGACAATACCATAATATTGAATTATTTGGATTACTGATTGCATCGGAAGTACCCCCAAAAATTATCATTAAATCATCGCCACCTGAAGTTACTCCATGATTAAATAAATTTGGATTAGCAGAATTATTATTAACTACCCATAATGGATTATCAGTCTTAAATGACCCTGATACATCAAGTATAATAAATTCATTGGTAATATTTAGATTAAGATTATCATTAAATCCAAATGGATCGATAGTGCTAGCAACTTTACGTCCACCATAAATATATATTCTATCGTGATAATGATGATGAAAATAAGAATTAAGCTTAATGAATAATAAAGTGGTATAAAGTAAAAAAAAAAATAAAGATTATAGAGTGACAAATGTAATTAAAGTACTTACTTGTCGTTTATTAATACAGCACCGTGTCCACTATTATAAATAAAAAGAAAATATAAAGTCATTATTTGAAGATAATTTAAAATTTAAAATTTAAAATTTCCAAATTTCCAATTCCAAATAAATCTCTTAATCAAATTAATAAATAATATTTACTATCTCGGTGAATTTAGATCGGCATCAATTTTTATTATCAATATCAACAAAATCGAAATCATCAGTTTTGCTTTTATCCATCTTGACGAAATCATTTCGAAGAATTCTTTTTAAAAAAGATTATTATATTATTATTATAATTATGATTTGAAATTTTGAAATTTTTTCATAAATTATCCTACCATTCGTTCGTAAGTACATCTTTTATTTATAATTTTTTTTTAAAGGAAATATAATAATTTTGTCGAACTCTTCTATCACATTTAACCGGAGGCTGGAGACCGGAACTGAAATTCCACCCCTGAAATGTATTTATTATTAATTATCCATTTATATCAAAGTAACTTATTCAAAAAATACGAATTATACGAAATATATGTTTATTATTATCGTAGAAAGAAAAAAAAAAGAAAAACTAAACGATTTTTTATTGTTTTTTTATCGTTCTTCATATGGATTTCTTAAAGAAGAAATGATAAATATGTAATTCTCTTTGTTTATCCCAAATAATCCAAATAATAATCAATTGATTCTCTTTGTTAATTCTTTTGAAAATCCCAAATAATCCAAATAATCCAAATAATCCAAATAATCCATTGTAACGGTGCGTAGATGTGATGTGATATGATGTTTTTTTTTTAACCTTCCATAATTAGCTCAATTATAGTAACAGATGTTTCCACAGCAAAAAACAATCTTTTTGTGATTATCTTTTTGTTCAAGTAAATATTTGTATTAGCTGTTCCATGAGAGATATTTGTATAACATTTCTTTCAAAGAAAACTTCTTAATATTATCAATAGATTCTGAAAACATTCCCATTTAAATCATTTAAATATAATCTCTTATTTCATTTATACTTTCATCTACCTAAATCCTGTTTGATTATTATTATTTTTAACAGGATACATAGTGAAAATTATTAATATTTATTTATTTGAAATTTATGGATTCTTCGATTGACTTTCAACGTTTTTCATCCAAGTTAATATAATTTTTGTAATCACAAAAACCGAAATACATATTCATAATTTGATTTTATTAAAATGTTTTGATGTTATATTCCGATTCTAAGATTATCACAAAATCAAGTCAAAGTTAATTGTAATATTTTTTTTTCTTTTTTTTAACTTTTCTTCGCTTCCCAACTTTAAGTATTATTATTAAAGACAAAATATTTAATTTAATCTTTTTTTAATACCTACCTACCTTAGGTTTAAAATAGCTAGATTAAATGTGCAATTTTTAGAATACTAATAGCTATTATTGGTGTGCAACATGTGCTGCTTGCCGACTTCGTAAGTTGCGCAATATAACATATAATATACTAAATTTTCGTGCGATGACCCATCGATCAAATAGTAAATAATTTTTTTTGTTTTAATTATTAGAGATCTGCGAAAATCAAGTAATTACGTTACAAGTCCAGCAGCCATTATTACATTTATGGCGTAATCGAATATGAAAAAAAAAAAAGACTTTAGTTCCGACCCTACATTCCTAATAATTACTCAATCTACAATAATAATTAAAAATTGAATTAATTGAATTATCGTGGTCCGAGTAATTAATATTTTATCATCATTATTACAAAATTTGGATTGAATAGTATTAGAAAATGAAGAAAATTGTATAAGATCTTCAGATGAATTTAAATAATTTAATTGTTGTGTTTGTGATATATATTTGTTGTTTATTTGATCTATTTAAATCAAAAACTAAGCTAAAGATAATTTATCTAAAATTAGGTGGTGATGAATAATATAATGTTATGTGGCGAAGAAGAAGAAACGTGAAAAGTATTCTAGATGTAGATGATGGTGGTGGTGGTGGTGGTATACTACTATTACTACTACTATAAGAATCAATCTTTAGTTAAATTTATGAAATAACTTATATCTTTGAATTCAAAATTATGTTCAGATGGTGTTTTTTCATTAAATTTTTTTAGGTGACGATCTTTCTTCCACCAAATATCCACTTTCGTTTGCTTACTATTACTACCATTATCTACAACTATTGATTAGATCCACCACCACTACTTTATAATTATTATTACTCATTATTATTACTATTATTTTCATCATCATTATTATTATTGTTGTTTAAATTTTAATTTCTATTTCTATTCCTATTCCCTATATACCAATAAATAAAAATTAATATTGCTATTATTAATCCACCCATAATTACCCAAACTGCTATTAGACGTTTGGAAGATGATGTTGTTGATGATGATGAATCGTCAGATGCAAAGAAGAAAGTGGGATTATATTCATTTGTCCATGATAAAGTTTTTAGGTTAAGAATGAAGATATTACTTAATATCTCATTCTGCAAAAAAAAAAAAAAAAGATACACGTATAAATAATTAATGAATAAAAGTCTGACAAATTAAAAAAATCAAGAAAGAAAAAAATAAATAAATAAAGGAAAAACTTACTGTTTTTGATAGACCTAAAAAATTGAAAAAAAAAGAAAGTTTTTTAAAAAAAAGAAATAAAAATAAAAAACAATTAGTGAATGATTATAAAATATAGCGAATGATTAATATATGGAAATGACATACCATAAGTACCAATAATATAATCTCCCACTAAAGTAAATGTATGACCATGTCGTACTCCAGGATCTGGACCCGTAATACTAAGTTTCTCCCATGTTAACGGTGATGATGAAACGTCCAATTTGAATAAACCAACTGTATCTACAGTTACATTAGCATCGGTATCGGCAAAACCAAAACCACCATAAATTATTATCGCATTTTCATCTAATTAATTAAATATTATTATTAAATAAGTATAATTACTGTTAGTGAGAATAAATAAAGTATATATATATATAATATATATATAAAATAAAATATTACATACATGCAACAGCTCGATGTGCTCTACGTCGTTCAGGTATATCACCAGTTGCTGGCTATATATATAGAATATAGAATATTGTTATTATTTAAACTTTTACTTCTTCTCTGAATAAATAAAATAAAATAACCTTAAGAAATAATGCTTACCAACGTACTCCATGTACCATTAAAAGTATCATAAACACCAATTAATGACATATCTACATAAGATCCTGATTCTAAATCATAATAATGTACTCCACCAATTACATAAATCTTTCCATTTAAAAGTGTTGCCGTATGATCATAACTAGTTACATTTGCACTAATATAACTAGAAATAGCAATATCAGATTCAATACTACTTATACCTATAGAAATTATTCTTTGTGGTGGTAGTACTGATGATAATGTCAGGGGATCAACTCCACCAATTATATATGAATTATTATTATCTGAAGCCATACCGCCAAATAAAACTCTGCTCGAAATTTTTTCATTATTTACATTAGATGGTTGAAGTTTTAAGGTACCATTGGTATGACAATACCATAATATCGAACCATCTGCATTATCAGTAATACCCCCAAAAAGTATCATTAAATCATTACCATCTGAAGTTATTCCATGATTAAATAATTTTGGATTATCAACATTACTATTAGCTTCCCATGTTGGATTATCAGTTTTAAATGACGTTGATACATCAAGTGTAATAAGTTCATTAATAATATCTAGATTTTCATTATCAGTTGCATATGGTTCAGTAGTGCTAGCAACATTACATCCACCATAAATATATAATCTAAAGTGATATAAGAATTACATTAATATAATTAAGAATGAAATAATTAATATAATTAATATATAAAGTGTACTTACTTTTTGTTTATTAATACAGCTCCATGTCCACTATTATAAATAAATAAAAAATGTAAAGTCATTATTAGATAATTTAAAATTCCAATTCGCAATAAAATAATAAATAATAAATAATAAATAATAAATAATAAATAATAAATAATAAATAATAAATAATAATAATAAAGATACTTACTATCTCGGTGAATCTAGATTGCCTTCAACTTTTACTATCATCAATAACATTGATATCATCATCACCACCAGTATTACGATTAGCCACCTCGATGATCTCATTTTAACTAATATATAACTAGGCTAGTTCTTGAATTTTGGAATTTAAATTATTCCTCCGCTCGTTCTTTTATTTACTTCTTTTTATTTTAATTACTATTTACCGTTAGACCAATAAATTTAACTATATTTTTTTTATGATTAATGATTATAATATAATTGTCTTTTTAAGTTTCTTTTTTTCAATCAATAGTAATAATAACGGTAATAATATCAAAAAATGAATATTAAAAGAATATGAAAATATCTTATTACTAACTACTATATAGTTATAAAGTCCCAAATGAAACATATATTATTGAAGTAGAAATATATAAAAAAAAAGAATGATTGAAAGTAAAAGAAAAGTAATAAATTATAAATTCTAGTAAGCAATATATAGTTCTAAATATTTGATTTAATTTTTCTAAAAAAAAATAAAATATAAATACGAATAATTCTATAAATGAGGGTATTATATGAATAAATATTATGAAAATATAAATATTTAATTATTAGAATTATTAAGAATAGAATAATTAGAATAGAAATAAGAATTATTGAAACGTATCGAAAAAAAAGGGTATCGAACATTTTATTTTATTTTTTTGTTACAATTTTCAATGAAATGTCATGCATGTCATATTGTACGAATTTCGTGTATTCCGTAAACAAAGAAATCATTAAATTAAATATTTCTTAATCAATATATTTTATTATACAGTCCATTGTGTTATTAATCCATAAATTGCATTTTGTATACATTGAATTTTCTGTTTTTATAATTGTGATTAGTACAATTTACAGTTTACAAATAATCCTCTCGAATTTATTTATATCCTTTTTTTTTTTTTTTTTACAAAAATGGACCTAGTCAACCAATTCTCCGACCAAATTGATTACTAGTTTTCTATTAACGATGTAACATCAAAATCTATTTTTTGATGAAACATAATTAAAAAAAAAATTTTCTGAAATAAGGACTTGTGACTCAATAATACCCAATGATTTTGCCCAGAAATATTAAAATTACCACTCCATCTCGCATCATCTCAGAGTCACATAATCAATTCTTTTTAGATGTGTTTCTATTTCCATTTGATGAATCACTACGCATCTCCTTCATTTTTTTTTTTTGCCAATTTTTTAACCCTGTGATCAAAACAATGCTGAAACCGATAATTTTTTAAACAGATACATAACAGGTATTGAAGATTACCAAATTGCTTCTTATTGTTCAAATAACAATTTTTTTTTTAAGATTTGTAGTGGCTATTGTTCTAATTTCAATAGTTGCATTTACTGGGAAAATCTTTATAATATTATTGGTCTTCTGAAGAAAACTTATTAATACTATCAACAGATTTCAAAAATAGGCTATTTGAGAATTTAGATATATTTTTTTTAGAATTTTTTTTTTTTCAATTCATCTATACGTTTATATACTTTAGCCAAATACACAGTGCCATATCGACTATTTAACATCTTGAAATTTATTATGAGGTATCCATAGTATTATATATTAGAATTATTTATTATCAATGCTATTGTTCTCATTCCGCAATGTTATGTCACGTTATTAATATTACTACGGAAATATAAAAATAAAATTCCTAGTTAATGAACTTTTTATAGGGGGTTTTATTCTACAAATCAAAGATATAGAAATAACAGCAATCTTCTATATATTTTTTCTTTGCCTCCCAAATTTTTTTCGCTAGTACTAGTTTTTCTTTTGCGACAGCCGACTTACGTGAAAATTAAAAACATTTGATCGACTCGGAACTACGTCTTTTTCAGTTACAATAAAAATTGAATTGAATTAATTGAAAAATGAATTAGTCATTTCATTGGCAAATATGGAAATCCTGATCCCATGCGTATAAAAGCTGATCCCACGTGCATGAAACCTGATCCACGTATCGTTTTCGATTATTTTGAAGGTATTACGATAAAATGTACGGTACGAAACTGTACGATTTTACAAAAATAAAATTCGTACTTCAAGTTGTTATTGGTCAAATTCAGGGAGGGTCACGGGTATAAATCCTTTTTTGTGTTATGTATATATATATATAGAACAATCGCATTAATTCAATTCGTACAGAACAAAATAGCGTTTATCTGTATTGTACCCCTTTTTTGATACTGAGGTGGCACGAAACTAACTGAAATCACGGGAGATTATATGAGATGATATGTGTCACTATTTATCTCTGTCATCCCCCGTGATTATGGATAATGAAGGATGACGGTAAATACGTAAAGGGTAAGATATAAAATAGTTGCGGGTAAGGGAAGAAAAACGAGAGATTCCTTTTGGGCCTTAACAAAAAAAAATATGTAGGACATTTTTATTTCTTATTTCTTTCTTGTAATAATTTTAGTAATAATAAATAATTTAGTGTAGCAGAATAACAAAAGTGATAAGATACGCCAAACCAGTAATATATCGCTATTGTTATATTCCGATATTAAAACTTTAATAAAATTTGATGAACTATTTCTTTTATTTCTTGGTAAGTTACATCAAAAAGTCTGTTTCAGTTGTCAGTTTTCAAATTTTAAGTAACGTGATACAACTTAATATACATTATCACGTGATATATAATAACTAAATCATGTGAACATCGAATAATTAGTAGGTATATCAAAAAATGACGATGCCCATCGTCGATGGGTGATAAATTGCAAATAGGAGTTGCGTTAATTATTGCGCCATATGTCAATTAATTACGTCACTTTTTTTTTTGAGGTTCTCTATTGGCAAATACGAAAAAAAGATCGAAAAAGATTTTAAAATATTATTTATTACCCTGGGCTCAAACAACGGTTCCAGTTATTATTAATACATTGAATAACCATCTTTAATAATTGATATAAAAATTATTTGAATAAAAAAATAAAAAAATATTAAAGTGGTTACCCACCTCTCGTAAGTACAATAATAACCATTTTTTAATAATACAACAATATCCTAACATAAAAAAAAAAAAAAAAAACTTTTTTATCATTTGAAATGTTTGAGATGACACTTAATAATACACAATTATATAATTAATCATTTTTCATAATTCAGATTTGGATTAATCTTCCTCCGCCACCACTAGTAATGTTATTCTTCATTATCATACATTATTCCGATGTTGTAAACTATCTAAAATTCGACTTCTTATATGTCCAATAATGAAATCCCGTATTACTTCTGGTAGGTTGATCTATCACATTTTTGACGCACAGTGCGTCGTTCACTAGTTGATCCCGATCTTCCTTGATGATGAAGAATATTGTTACAGTTTCAATTCTACTATTGAAAATTAAAAATAGGTGAAGAAGAAACATGAAGATTATTATTTCTAGATGATGACAATGGTGGTGGTGATGGTGTTAATTGATTGATGATATACAACCAAACTTTTGATGACTTAATTTAAATTACGATATTGCAGATGGCGATCTTTTACCTCCACTAGATTTTTTAGGTGATGATCGATCCACATCTTTAAAAATGATTATTATTACTATTATTATTATCATTATATGTTATTATTACTATTTAATTAAGTTCATTATTATTATTATTAAAATCATTGTCATTATTATTATTATAATTATAATTATTATTATTTAATGAATTCAATCATTAATCTCTATCTATAGGTTCATCTAATAATTTTTATTAGATTCTTGCTTAGAAAAAAACATAATAAATCAAAATTAATATCAGTAGTAATGTAAATCCACCAATAGATGAAATAATTACTATTGCAAGGGTATGTGGTTGTGATGATGATGACGGTGATGTTGATATTGATGTTGTTGATGATGTTGAAATGGTTGGAGATGTACTGGTTGGAGATGGAATGGAAGATGAACTGGAAGTTGTTTCGATAAGAGGTTTAAATTCATTTGTCCATGAGGAAGTGTTTAGGTCAAGAATGAAGATATTACTTAATGACCCATTCTGTAAAAAATATACACATATAAATAATGAATGATATAATTAATGAATAAAATCTACGAATCAACGAATCAAGAAAATCAGGAGATAAATATAAGCAAATGAAAACTTACTGTTTTTGATAGGCCTACAAAATAAAGTAAAAAAAAAAAAAAAAAAAGTGAATGATTAAGGTTATTTCGAAAAATCATAGTGAAATGATTTATAAAACATAGTGAATAATTAATGCATAGTATTGAATTACCATAAGTTCCAATAATATAATTTCCCACTAAATTAAATGTATGACTATATCGTGCTCCAGGATCTGGACCTAAAACATTAAGTTTCTCCCATGTTAATGTTGAAACTTTCAATCTGAATAAATCATTTGTATCCCCATTTTCGTTAAATCCACCATGAATTATTATTGTATTTTTATCTAATTGATTAAATATTATTAAATAGATATTATTGTCGATATCGATAGAAATAATAAATATGATAAACAAAGTATATGTAATATTAATACAATTAATACATATAAAAATATACATACATTCAACAGCTCGATGCGCTCTACGTACATCAGGTATATCACCATTTGTTAACTATATACAAAATAATATAATATTATCAGTTATTATTTTTGTTATTATAATAAGAATAAATAACATAAATAACGGAAATAACGCTTACCGATGTATCCCATGTACGATCTTTAGTATTATAAATTCTAATTGATGACATATTTACATAAGATCCCGCATTATATCCACCAATAATATAAATCTTTCCATTCAAAAGTGTTGCGGTATGATCATAACTTGCCACATTTGCATTAATAGAATTAGAAATAATATTATCAGATTCAATATTACTTATATCTATCATAATTATTCCTTCTGATTCTGTTACTGTTGAAAGTGAATTGGTTTCAATTCCACCAATTATATATATATATTTATCTTCTGAATTCATATCAAATAAAAATCTATTTGAACTTGAAATCGATGATACATTTACATTAGGTGATTGAAATGTTTTAGAATTTTCTGTATTACAATACCATAATATTGAACTATTGGTATCAGAAATACCCCCAAAAATTATCATTAAATCGTTACCACCTGAAGTTACTCCATGATTATATAAATTTGGATTAGTATCACTACCACTATTATCAACATCCCAAGTTGGTTTATCAGTCTTAAATGACTTTGATACATCAAGTATAATAAATTCATTAATAATATTTATTTTATCCATTTCATATGGATCAGTAGTTCTATTAACTTTACGTCCACCATAAATATATATTCTATCATTATAATGATGAAAATAAGAATGGAATGAAGAATGAATAATTAAGACAATTAAGAATAAATAAAAAGTATAAAGTATAAAAAAAAAAAATAAAGAGTATAAAGTGTAAAGAGTAAAGAGTATAAATAATTAAAGTACTTACTTTTTGTTTATTAATACAGCTCCGTGTCCGCTATTATAAATAAAAAGAAAATATAATGTCATTGAATCATTATTTTTGAAGATAATTTTAAATTCCCAATAAACTTCTTTAATAAAAGAATAATAATAGTACTTACTATCTCGGTGAATTTAGATCGGCCATAACTTTTACTATCATCATCATCATTAACGTCGATATCATCACTTTTAGCCATCTCGATGACGTCATTTCGAAGTTTTTTTTTTAATATAATTCTTTTTTTAAAAGATTTTTATTATAATTTTGATTTGCTTTTTTTTTCATAAATTATTACTCGGTCGTTCGTACGTTCGTTCATTAATTTATCCAATTCCCTTTTTTTCTTTTCTTTTATTTATAATTTTTTTTTTTTGAATTAATCGACAATATGGTCTTACGTATTTGAATAATTACTTTATATTTTTTTTTATTTTTTTATTATTTTTTTTGAGAATATACAAATAATTTATTCTATAAATACGAATTATGCGAATTAGATAAAATTATTTTTATCATCATCGTAACGTTGGAACGTAAAAGAAAAGAAAAAAAAGAGAACTAAAATTTTTTTTTTCTTTTATTTGTTTATCTATGTTTATATGAATTTCTTAAAGAAGAAAAATATTAAATGTGTCATGCTGTAATAAATTAATTCTATCTTATCAATCCCAAATAATCCAAACAATCTATTGTCGGATTATTAAACTTAAACCAATATAATGTAATTATAATGGTACAAATAGTACAAAATAGTAATAACAATAACAGTGAGAATGTGTATAAATATTATCTCGGTTGTATAAATTCGTGATGTTTTATTTGATTGATCATCTTTTCTATCCCTATGAGCCAAGAGAGCTAAGAGAAAAGAGATAAGAAATCTATTTATGGACACCGGAACCTGGACGAGTGGTAAAAACATACTTGATTTTTATTTTACTTTAGTATTAGTTGAATTAGCTCGGTATGAAAAAACCGAATTTAACTTATGATTTACCATTTGATGGACCACATGCATATGAGAATAACCATATTGTCATTTACACAACATTATTATTTTTTCTATTTATTTAACCTTTTAAGGATGAAATTCCAATTCTCGAATGAATTAAATTATTATTGCATTATATAGACTATTAAAACTATTAATTGTTCGTATCAGAATTTTAGATCACGTTATTAAAAAAAATATTTTTGTCATTTTTCTACTTTTTTTTTTTTTTTCTCTTTTCACAACTTCAAGTTTATTATTATTATTAAAGATAAAGTATCAATCTTTTTACGTAGTGCCTATCTAGGCAGTGTTATACATGTTCCTGGGTTTTCTTTTTACTGTCCCGCACTGTTCGTACTCTTAGCTAGTTTACAATATATTAAAATTTTGCAAGAATCTATTTTGAACAGCTTTAATTTAATATTGACTAAATTAAGGTTGTTCAAAATAGATTTTATGTTATTTACGTTTTAAAGTAAGTAAATTTTGTCCAAGAACTATCCAACGGTGTCCCTTTGACAACACTGAAGCTAGGTATAGTGTAAAGGTGAAAAACCTATGTTTTTTGACCGCGGGAATATTTGGTACAAATGATAGACGGAAAGTGTTTTTTTTTTAAAAAAAAAAATATGTGTCTCTGGAATTTATTTTAATGTATCAATATTGATATTACGTATGATTGAGAACTTTTTAAAAATTTTCTTGACACGTTTCACTTCCTGAACTTGGTTCAGGGTTTCTTTTTCTTGGCACGTGATTTATATTTCAATGACAAAAAATTGAATATAAAAAACAATCAATTACTACAAGAATTTATATATTCTCTTATCTGGCTTCGAAAAAATAAGGCGGAGACGTCAACGTTCAAAATTAAAATTCCAATTAAGGTAAATCAATTTTATATTGTAAAAATCTGATTGATACATAAATAAAATAAATTATGCATGCACATGGAATCTAGAAGAAGTTGGTATTTCTGTGATAAATGATATGCACATTATCAGGTTATATGCATATATGAATTTTCTTTAAGATTAAATCCAGATTAAATATAATTAACAATAACTGTTTTGAAATTACCATATTTCCATTTTATATATTGATGCGGAGGAATAACTGAACTAGACAATTAAATGTCACGTGACATGAATTTTAATGCTTTTGGGTAAATTCTTTGTGATCACTTAACAAAAAAATAAAAAATAAACATTCCTGTAAGATTTTTTGGCTTTATTCCGACAATTCAAAAACAAAAAACATTTGAAACAATGCATCGATTATATTGAAATTATTATGAAAAATTTGTTACTTGTGATTAATTTTGTTACAAAAAGAGCATTGACATTGGTATATCTATAACGTGGTTCATTTCCTTTTAAAGTTATAAGGCATGTTTTTTTGGATATTTTTCAATCAATTTTAAGTGTAAGAAATATTTCGAAATATACTTGCCACCCAAATTCAAATTTTAAATACCAAAATCCAAAATCCCAAATTATAATTAGTATTTTATGCCAAAATCTCAAATTCCCAATACTACGAATTTGAAATTTCGGCATTCCAATTTCCAAATTCGGGATTTAAACAACATGTATACTTCAAAATTGACAACAAGTTCAAACAACATCTATTTCAATTATTGATGTGAAAAACTTATAATCTGGGAAAAAAACCAAAACATTTCAAAAAAGATTAAAAAATGGGAGGGAAAATCTACGATAAATACAACAACAACAACATAAGCAAAGCAGTATTGGAATTAAGGTGAAATTTTATATGAAATTTAATATATAAGTTACAACCCATTATGTTTTCATAATAGTATTTTATATTATGTGAGTCATATGCGTGTTAACAAGTCAACCCATTCAGAGCTCTACTAACATGGCTATAGTTAATTATGATATAGATCATGGCAATTTTTAATTTTTTTTATACGCAGAAGCAGTTGCTCGTGAAATTTTGAAAAAAGTTAGCATAAGGGGATTTCTCGTTACTATAAAATATCCGACACATCAGGAAAATTTTCGGGCACATATTTCGTCATATTACACACTTACGTCTTTTTTTTGTACAAATTTATGAAAAAAAAAAGATCCATTTTTTTTTGACTTCGCTCTCGATTTGCGCGACAGGAAGCGATTTTCTATAAGGTGTTTCTAAGATGGATCGAAAGCCCTGGTTCCTGGCTACAAGATAATATGCGCTTCATTTCTGTAAAATCAATATTAATCAAGATATATTCACGTTTAAGTTCGAAAGTTCGTGTAAAGTTTCAACAAAAATTTACTCTTGCAAAAAAATTTTCGAAAAATTTTGTGAAAATTTCTGAAAGACAACATTTTTGCGAAAATTTTTGTAATTTTTTATTGAAACGTTTCACGGACGTCCGAATTTAATGTCAATATCTCGATGAATATTGATGCACAGGAATGAAGCACATATTATCTTGTAGTCAGGAACCAGGCTTTCGATTCATCTTAGAAATACCTAAGTAGAAAATCGCTTTCTATCGCGTAAATCTCGAGCGAAGTCAAAAAAAAAAGGATTTTTTTTTCATAAATTTGTGCAAAAAAAGACGTAAGTGTGTAATATGACGAAAATATACGCCCTGAAGATTTTCCTGATGACTTAGTATGTCTATTATTGATCAATTTGCCAGAAATTATGTCATTTAAAAAACTACTATTTTTTCTAGAATATTTCTTTACTTTTTCAAGGATAAAATTACTTTATCAGAATGCACAGTCTTATTCAATATCTTAAATGATTATATGTATCTATATTGCATTGTATTGTATGTATTGTGTATATTATTAAAACTATTTATTATACGTATCAGAACGTTAAATCACGTTGTTAAATCATTTTTCAAAAAAAAAAAACTACAACAATTTGCTATTATGTCATTTTTCTATTTTTTTTTTTTTCACTTTTCACATCAATCTTTTTAGTACCTATCTATGCAGTGTTATACATTTTACACGTTCCTGAATTTTTTTTACTGTTCCATTCCCGCATCTACGCTGTTTGTACTCTTAACTAGATTATAATATATTAAAATTTTGCAAAAATCTATTTTGAACAACTTAATATTAATCAAAGTTGTTCAAAAATAGATTTTATGTTATTTACGTCCAAGAACTATCCAACGATGTCCCTTGACAACACTGAAGCTAGGTATATGTTTTTTTTATAGCATTATAGCTGCATATAAGGCCTATGTGCAACTACGCACATTGTTGTTAGCCTGCAACTTTTCGGTATCGTTTTTCGCCTATACTTTTTATTAAAAATTGCAATTGCAATTCTCCATTTCGAATTATTAAATTATTTTAAAAGACAAGAAGTACCAACTAAATAATAGTTACATCTTTGTATTAAATATGTAATGCTATTTTCCGTTTTTTTTTGTTCTGGAAATATCTAAAAAAATGCTCGTCATCATTGAATGTAAAATTAGTAGATCTATTATTATCGGATAACTACTACACGATGTTAAGTTGAATCGGAAATCCTTTTTAGATTTTCCTTTATGTCGTCCAGAATTTTGCTAGGCTAATTCTAGTTATATTTTTCTTTACGATGATAGTCCACATTGTAATGAACATGAAAATTAAAAAAAAAAAAATTTTTGATCTCTTTTTCAGTTAAATTGAATTAATTTATTTTGGATTATTATTTTTATTATCATACATAGGATTATTCTTAATAACTTTTTTATATAAAATTATTTGAATAAAAAATAATATATATATATATAGCCCTTATTATACATTTTTTTTAAATATACAATAAATAAATATTAATTGATACTTTAGATAATATTCTACTAATACAAAAAAAAAAGAAAAATCAAAATTAATAATAAAATAATTATAATTCAATTACTCTCGTAATCATCCGAATCATCTAAATCTTTATTAGAATAAAATAATCTTCCTCCACCACTATCACCAGTAATGTTACTATAATTATAATTATCTTCATTATTATTCCTTATTCCAGTTGGTGAAGATATTGCTGTACGATATAAACTATCCGAAGTTCCACTTCTTATATTTTCAATATAATTTCTTATAGGTTGATTTGAATTATTATTATTATTATTATTATTATTATTAAATCCGAATACTGACCTAAAATCAAAAGATGTTCTTGGTGATACAGCTCCAGTTTTAAATAATGGACTATTAAAAATAAGTGATCCATTGTTCATTGGATTCTTGGCATTCTCATCATCATCATCATTATCATCATTATCATCATTATCATCATCATCATCATCATCATCGTCTTCATCATTATTGTTATTGTTATTATTATTATTATTATTATCTCCTTCATTAAAGAAAGTGGCTCGAGTAGGAGTAATTTCATCACCTTGAGATCGCGTATGGGATTTTATCATTTCATAATTATTATTTTTATTTATTGTTGGTAGAGATGTATCTATTGATAGTTTTGGTATCGACATTTTTATTGATTGTTTTGGTATCGGTGGTACGGAACTTGATGGAGTTAATGTAGTAATATCTTCGGATGAATTTAAAGTAGGTTGTGATCTATTTAAATCATAACTATATACAGATAATTTATTTAAAATCGAAGGTGGTGATGAACGTGAAGATGATGAGGTAAGATTATTTAATGATAAAGTAGAAGGAATTGAATTATTATTTATAGTTGATGATGATGTTGATGATGGTGGTTGTGGTTGTGGTGAAGGTGATGGTGATGGGGATGGGGATGATGTTAGTGGTATGCTACTATAAGAATCCGACTTTTGAAGATGATTTAAATTTAAATTGTGATATTTAAATGGTGAAGGTGAATCGGAATTTTCCACTTCAATAGATTCAACGGATGGCGTTCTTTTAGCTGATGATCTTCCACCAAACAATCCATTACTATTAATAATATCTCCAACAATTGTATTTGTATTAGATTTATTATTATTATCATCACCACCACCTTTTAAATAATTTTGAAAATCTTGTTGTTGATCTTCAAATGGTAATGTTTTTGTTGTATCAGATTCTACACTTCCTCGTCTATTTTTTGGATAGACGAGTGGAATTATATTTGTATCATAACTTTCTCCTTTAGAATATTGATGATATTGTTGATATTCTTGATATTGTTGATTAAGTTGATATTGTTGATTAAGTTGATATTGTTGATATAGTTGTTGTGGTTGATGTAGTTGTTGTGGTGATTGATGTGGTTGATATAGTTGATGTGGTTGATGTAGTTGATGTGTTTGATATAGTTGTTGTGGTTGATGTGATTGATATTGTTGATGTGGTTGATATTGTTGACGTTGAGATAGCTGACGTTTTTCACGTTGAGATAGATTACGTTTTTGACGTTGAGATGGTAGATGTCTCTGTCGTTGAGATGGCATACGATGTTGATATGGATGAATTTGTTGATAACGTTGTTGAAATGGTTGATGATACCTATATGGTTGAAGTTCTGGAACTGGATCATAATTATAATTATTATTATCATCATCATCAGAATGATTATTTCTATTATGTCTACCACCACAACCTAGAGAAAAAGAACCAACAGTTGGTGATCTATCTGCAAGTTCAGCTAATAATCTGTTAGGTCTATTATTATATCTTATCTTTTTTAAACAAAATACAAATGGACAAATTAAGACCAAGAATATTATAACTCCACCAATAATTGCCCAAACTAAAATTGGAAGATCTGTATGAGTTGTTGTTGTTGAATTGTAAGTAGAGTTAGAGTTAGATGTATTCGTTGAACTAGTGGGGGAAGGGGAGGGGGTGGAAGGAGTGGGGGAAGGGGAGGGAGTGGAGGAAGGGAAAATATATTCATTTGTCCATGAGGAATTTTGTAGGTCAAGAATGAAGATATTACTTGATGTATTCTGCAAAAATATATACGTATAAATAATGAATGATTTAATTAATGAATAAAAGTTTAATGAATCAAAAAAAAAAAAAAGGAAAACTTACTGTTTTTGATAGGCCTAAAAAATTGAAAAAAAAGAAAAAGTAAAAAAAAATTAGCGAATGATTATAATTATTTCGAAAAATCGTAATGAAATGATTATAAAATAAAGCGAATGATTAATATATAGCATTGACATACCATAAGTGCCAATAATATAATTTCCCACTAAAGTAAATGTATGACTATATCGTGATCCAGGATCTGGACCCGTGATACTAAGTTTCTCCCATGTTAATGTTGAAACGTCCAATCTGAATAAGTCATTTGTATATACGGTTTCGTTAAATCCACCATGAATTATTATTGTACCGTTAACTAATTGATTAAATATTATTAAATAGATATTATTACTGTCAATGAAAATAAATAAAATATAAATAATATATAGTACAAAATATACGTACCTCCGACGGCTCTATGCGCTCTACGTCGATCAGGTATATCACCAGTTGCTTGCTATATATAAAATATAGAATATTGTTATTATTATTATTAAAAGCATAAACTTTACTTCTCTGAATGAATAATGTAAAATAACTGTAAGAAATAATCCTTACCTTTGTACTCCATTTACCATCTTTAATATCATAAACACCAATTGATGACATCTCTACATAACATCCTGATCTTATATTATAATAATGAATTCCACCGATAACATAAATCTTTCCATCTAAAAGTGTTGCTGTATGATCATAACTAGTCACATTTGCATTAATAAACTTAGAAATGATACTATCAGATTCAATACTATTTATATCTATAGAAACTATTCCTTGTACTGGTAGTATTGATGACATATTTAGGGAATAAGCTCCACCAATTATATATGTATCAGTATTATCTGAAACCATACCAAATAAACATCTGCTTGAAATTTTTTCTTTATTTACATTAGATGATTGAAATTCTAAGATGCTATTGGTATGACAATACCATAATATCGAATCATCTGAATCATCTGAATCATCTGAATTATAAGTATTATCAGTAATACCCCCAAAAAGTATCATCGAATTGTTTCCATCAGAAGTTATTCCATGATTAAATAATTTTGGATTAGTATCACTACCATTATTATTAACTTCCCATGATGGTTTATCAGTATTAAATGTTTTTGATACATCAAGAATAATAAATTCATTAGTAATATTTATATTTTCATCATCCATTGGATACGATGGTTGACATATGTCAGTAACTATACGTCCACCATAAATATATATTCTATTGTGATGAATGAAAATGAATAATAAGAATAAAAAGTATATAGTAAAAAAAAATAAAGAGTAAGTATGTAAAGTATATAAATAATATTTACTTGTTATTTATTAATACAGCTCCATGTCCACTATTATAAATAAAAGAAAATATAAAGTTATTGAAACGTAGCGTAGAAATATTTATTTGAAGATAATTTTATGCTCCTCTTATTTCTATATTTAAAATTTTCAATTTTCAATTCCCACTTTAATCACGAATAAATAATAAGGAATATAATTATACTTACTATCTCGGTGAATCTAGATCGGCCTCAACTTTTACTATTATTATCAACATCAATATTATTATCACCATCCATCTCGGTGACGTCATTTCGAAAGAGTTTTTAATATAAAAATAATTATTATATTTGTGATTTTGATTTTTAAAATTTAATAGTTTTTTTTTTTCATAAATTATTCCTCCGTTCGTTCGTTCGTTCGTTCGTACGTTCATTCATTAGTTATCGAATTCACTTTTTTCTTTTCTTTTATTTTTTTAAGGAAATGTAATAATAATTTTTTTTTTTTTTTCAAATTAATGATAATAATATTGATATTTGAATAAAGGAAATTAAATAATAGTTACCCTTTTTTTCCTTTGTAATATTTTTTTGAAAAAAATATTATAATTTATATAACTATTGTTATTATTATTATCGTAACGTGGACTCGTCTCGTAAAGGAAAAAAAAAAAAGAACCAAACAAATTTTTTTTTTTTTTTATGTTATGTTCATATGAAATTTTCAAAGAAAAGGAGTAGAAGAGAATGTCAAATATGACATGACATTTTATATTATGTAAAAAAAGAATCTCTTTGTATATCCATTGTTGGGTTATGGAATAGCACAGTAACAATAACAATAAAAGATAACAGAATGTGTGTATAAAATACGGCAAATGTGAAAAATGTGATATTTTTTTTCTGATTAATTTGCATTTTTTGAGCCAAGAGACTATTTATGTCCTTACATTGGTCACAGAATATTCTTGATTTATTTTACTTTGGTAATAAATATATAATTATATACAATAACTTTTCTATTTAGGTAAATCATAAATAAACAGATTTGCATCATGACTAGGAAAACAATTCAACTAACTCCGACTACTTGATTTTGTTCGGAGATTAAACTTTTACATTAAAACTTTTTAGCATTCATTCATTCATGTATGTATTATAAATGACTTTTAATACCTCTAGAAAATCCATCCTATCTCTATCATATCATCATCATTCTCTACTTACCATTTCTCTACTTCACTCCATTACCATTCCCATCTTTTATCATGTCAAAAATGAACAGGTTAGGTTATAATCTAATCAAATTCTGATATCCACATTTACATCTATTACAAATCTGTGAACAAAAATGTCGTACTCGAAAGTTTTGTTAAAAATCTGATCTTCGAGTACATAACAGGTATGTTTCACAAAACATTGATATTCTGAAAAACATTGCTATTTCAAGAATTCTAATACCTTGTTTTTAAATTAAAAAAATAATATTATATTAAAATAAAATTTCGAGTTAATAATTGCTTGTATAATTTTTAATTATGTCATTTCTTTTTTCGTTTTTCCTAAACTTCAAATTTATTATTATTATTATTAATTAAAGACAAAATATTCTCTTTTTTTTTTTTCTTTTTATTAAAAATTGCAAAAAATGTAATTGAAATTCCCCGTTTTCAATCAATAAATCATTTAAAGATAAAAAATTAAAATGTTATATATGTATGTTAATTTTTTTGTCATTCAAAATGAAATTTATCGAATAATTACAATAAATATAATACAAGAACGTTTTATTCTACACATCAAGTTGAATCAAGATTTAGCAACAACAGCAAACCTTCTGTATATTTTTCTAGTTTTTCTCTTCGATAATAGTCCATAGTTACGACGACGACATACCTACATTGTGGCGCAATAACATAAAAAAAAAATTTGATCGGATCGTAAATACGTCTTTTTCAGTTTAATTGAATTGAATTAATTGAATTATTTTTTGAATTATTTATTATTATTATTATTATTATACATATAATTATTTTGAATAATCATCATCTTTAAAAATTTGATATAAAATTATTTGAATGAAAAAAAAAAAAACAAAAAAAACAATTTAGTGGTTAACCCCGCCCCTCGTAAGTACAACAATACCCATTTTTTTTTAAAAAAAAAAAGTACAAAAACAATGTTACAATAAATATTAATTAATACTGTAGATTATATTTTTTACTAATACAAAAAAAAAAAAAAAAAAAAATTAAAAATTTTTATCATATCGTTTGTTTGATTTGTTAAAAATCTAAAATTTTTTATAATTATAATTAATCACTTTCATAATCCAAATCTATATTCGAAGAAAATAATCTTCCACCACCACCAGTAATGTTATCATTATCATCCCTTATTCCAGTTGGTGAAGCTGATGCTATTGTTCGACTCAAACTTCCACTCCTTATCTGACCAATAATACTATCTCTATTACTTCGGGTAGTAGGATTTGATATATCACTCATTCTCGAGGTTGATCTAAGACTATAAGGTGTACGTTGTTGTTGTTGTTGTTGTTGTTGTTCATTGATTGATCCTGATCCCGATCCCGATCTTTCTCTCGATGATGATGATAATGGTACAGATACCGTACCAGTTCTAAATAATGGACTATTAAAATCATTTGGTGGGGATTCTTTTTTCATTGGATCATCATCATCATCATTATTATTATAATTATTATTATCTCCTTCATCAAAGAAAGTAGCCTGAGTAGGTGAAGAAGTAAATATTTCATCATCGTGAGATCGCATCTGTGATCTTTCATTATTATTATTATTATTATTATTATCATCATCATACGTTGGTGACGATACCGAAGGAGTTACTGATAATGGTCTTGGTATCGGAGGTACAAAATTTGATGGGGATAATGTGGAAGAAGATGATGATGCTGTCGCTGGAGGAGGTGATGGAACAATGTGATGAAATGAAGAAAATTGGGTAATATCTTCAGATGATGATTGTGAATAAAATTGTTTTTGTTGTTGTTGTTGTTGTTGTTGATTTGGAGAATATTGATCATAACTATATAAAGATAATTTATCTAAAACTGGAGAAGGGGGTGATGAATGTGAAGGGCTAAGATTACGTGGTGAAGAAGATGAAGAAATATTATAAGTATTATTTCTAAATGGTGATGATGATGATGGTGGTGGTGATGGTGATAATGAAGTTGGTGGTAGTGGTGGTAATGGTATACTACTATGAGAATTTGATTTTTTATGACTTAAATTATTATTATTAAAATTATAATTATTATATCTAAATGAAGGTGAATTAGTTCTACTACCCGATGAAATAGGAGAATAACTTCTTTCTTTTGATTCAAATGAATGTTCGGATGGAGTTTTTTTACCTTCACTAGATTTTTTAGGTGATGATCTTCCACCAAATAATCCCGGGGATGATCGACCACCACCACCACTTCTACTACCACTATCTACAACTATTGTATTAGTTCCACCACCACTACCTTTTAAATAGTTTTGATGATATTTTTGTACTGAAGTCCATGATTCTTGTTGTTGATCTTCATATGACGCTTTGGATGGATCAGATCCTACACTTCCTTGTCTATTTTTAGGATGTCCAAATGGAATTTTTGTTGTATCATAATTAAGTGGATCTACTTCTTCTTCAACATATTGTTGATATGGTTGATTTGTCCGTTGTTGATATGGTTGATATGGTTGATATGGCTGACGTTGTTGTTGTTGTTGATATGGCTGGTGTTGCTGCTGATATGGTTGATGTTGGTGATGTTGTGGTATTGATTGTAAATCAGACTCATTATTATAATTATCAATACTACTACTATTAAAATCATCATAATCATCATCATAATTTTTATCATTATTAAATGAAGTCATTTGTGGTGATTTATCGGTATGTTCATATATTAATTTTTGATTAGGTCGTTTTCTCTTTCTTAAAAAACAAAATATTAATAAACATGATAATGCCGCTACTATTATAAATCCACCAATTGTCCCAATTATTATTGGAAGTTTGGAAGAAGAAGAAGATGAAGATGATGATGAATTGGTAGGTGAATTATTTGTAGGTGTACTACTGGGAGATGTACCAGTAATATCGGGAGAAGGATTATATTCATTTGTCCATGATAAAGTATTTAGGTTAAGAATGAAGATATTACTTAATGATCCATTCTGTAAAAAATATACAAGTATAAAATAATTAATGATATAATCAATGAATAAAAGTTTAATGAATTAAAAAAAATAAATAAATAAAACTTACTGTTTTTGATAGACCTAAAAAAATTGAAATAAAAATAAAAAAACAATTAGTGAATAAATAAAAAACAATTAGTGAATGATTATAAAATATAGCGAATGATTAAATACATAGAATTGAAATACATAGAATTGAAATACATAGAATTGAAATACATAGAATTGAAATACATAGAATTGAAATACATACCATAAGTTCCAATAATATAATTTCCCACTAAAGTAAATGTATGACCATATCGTGATCCAGGATCTGGACCCGTAATACTAAGTTTCTCCCATGTTAATGATAAAACGTTCAATTTGAATAAACTATTTGTATCTCCTAATAGGTTAAAACCACCATGAATTATTATTGTATTGTTATCTAATAAATAAATATTATTATTATATGATTATTAAATTAATATTATCGATGGAAATAAAATAAATATGATAAATAAAATATGAATAATATATAATACATTATATAATATACGTACATCCAACAGCTCGATGTGCTCTACGCATATCGGGAAGAGTACCAGTTGCTTTCTATATATATATATATATATAGAATATTATTATTATTATTATTATTAAAAGAATACTCTGAATAAATAACGAATAACCGTAAGAAATAATGCTTACCACTGTATTCCATGTACTATCTTTAGTATTGTAAACACCAATTGATGACATATCTACATAAGATCCTGAATTTACATTAAAATAATGTATTCCACCGATAACATAAATCTTTCCATCTAAAAGTGTTACCGTATGATCATAACTAGTTACATTTGCACTAATATAACTAGAAATAGCAATATCGGATTCAATACTACTTATACCTATAGAAATTATTTCTTGTGAAGATATTACTGCTGATAATGTCAGGGGATCAGTTCCACCAAATATATATGAATTATTACTATCTGAAGACATTGGAGTCATACCACCAAATAAAATTCTGTTTGAAATTTTATCTTTATTTATAGTTGATGGTTGAAGTATTTTAGAATCATCTGTATGACAATACCATAATATTGAACTATTTGGATTACTGGTTGTATCGGAAACACCTCCAAAAAGTATCATTAAATCGTTACCACCCGAAGTTACTCCATGATTAAATAAATTTGGATTAGTTGAATGATTATTAACTACCCATAATGGATTATCAGTCTTAAATGATTTTGATACATCAAGAATAATAAATTCATTGGTAATATTTAAAAGACTATTATCAGCAGATTGATCAATAGTACTAATAACATTACGTCCACCATAAATAAATATTCTATCATGATGGTGATGATGATGATGATGAAAATAAGAATTAATAATAAATAAACAATTAAGACAATTAAGAATAAATAAAAAGTATAAAGTATAAAAAAAAAATAAAGAGTATAAAGTGTAAAGTGTAAAGAGTATAAATAATTAAAGTACTTACTTTTTGTTTATTAATACAGCTCCGTGTCCACTATTATAAATAAAAAAAATATATATATAAATTCATTGAATCATTTATTTGAAGATAATTTAAAATTAAACTTCTTTATATATAAAATAAATAAAATAATTATACTTACTATCTCGGTGAATTTAGACTGGCCTCAACTTTTACTATTATCATGTACATCGATATTATCATCATCGCTAGTATCACAATTAGCCATTTTGATGTCATTTTAAATTCTTTTTTTTTTTTAAAAAAAAAAAAAAAATATAAAATTAATTCTTGAACGTCTTTGAATATCCGTTAAATTTCGTTAATTTAAAAGGAAAAGGTTATTATTATAATTTTTTTTTTTTTTTTTAATAAATTATTCCTTCGTTATTTATCCAATTCGCTTTTTTTTTTCCTTCTCTTTTTATTTAATTACTATTTACCGTTAGACTAATTATTTTTTCTTTATGATATGATTAATGATTATAATTGTTTTTAAAATATATTTTTTCAATTAATAGTAATGATAAAAAAAAATGATAATATTAAAAGAATATGAAAAAAAGATTATTATTACTATACAGTTATAAAGTCTCGAATGAAATATATATTAGGAAAAATAAGTAAAGAAATAAGAAAAGTTATTTTTGAAATTTTTTTGGATTAAAAAAAAAAATTCAATACTTTTTTTAAAAAAAATTTTTTTTTTTTTTTTTTTAAAAAAGAATTTCTTCTATAAATACGAATTACCCGAATACTATACAATGGGATAAATATTATCAAAATATTATCAAAAATATATTTATTATAATTATTATTTTTTATTTTTTTATTATTATTATATTATCGTAACGTAAAGAGAAAAAAAAAAAAGGAGTACGAAAACGATTTTTTTTTTTATTTTTTTGTTACGTTGAGAAGAAAAGAAAGAAAATGTTACCATTATTCAAAAGAATATAAATAATATAATTTAATTACCTAATAAATTAATTCTTTAATCCCAAATTATCCATTGTTTATACTAAATATATGACATAATTATAAACAGTACAATGTAACAGTAAATGTAACGATCAATAATATAAATATTTATTTCAACTATATAATAAATTGGTATTTATTATTGTGGTATTTGAAACACAACAAAAAAATTCGCAGTTTTGAGAACAAATTTGTGGAATCCTTATTATTTATTCACTGGTTTTTTTTTTTTTTTGTAGTTTTTCTAATTTTAGATCGCATTTCTTTGCAGAATTATGTTAGATGTGTGTTATATGTTTTGTGTCATGATGTGTTTTTGTGTATTTTGCCTACATTAATTAATAACAAAACAAAGAATAATGTTTATTTTTTTTTATTTTTTTTTGATTTTTATTTCTTATAATGTTTATGTTAAAGTTTATTATATTCACTTGATAAGACTTATACATATGTATTAAAAATTTCTTTAGAATCAAAAGGTGTAGATCATCGTTATAATAATAAACATACTATGCATGCACGCTTTTACTTAATTCTTCAGTTATGTAATAAATAAATAATTATAAATTGTATTTATTCATAATATCTGATATTTATGTTTTTATATAACAGATAATATGCGAAATAATAATCAATAAAATATTGATATACAGAGTTTACTTTAAATGTTTCATTTGGGGAACTGGTGAATCTTTACTTTTGTTTTTGTTTTTCGTATAAAAAAAAGAAGAAATAAATTTATATATTATAGAATACTGTAATTTTTATAATAAATATTAATGACTTGTTAATGGAAAAAAAAAATAATAAAAATAAACCAACTTCTGTGATTTGTTGAATAAAGAAATTAAGTTTATACCCCTGAATCTACAATTAGCAACGAAAATATATCCAGTCTAAAATATTATTTAACGATGACCTTTACATTTAAAGAATATAAATCATAGCATACATACATCACTCTTCTTTTTTTTATGTGAATAGAATCTTTGCGATCGAAATCAAATTCAAAAAAAAAAAAAACTTCAATTCTTCCTTTTTTTTTTGTCAAAACAACGAGACAGATAAGAATGATCTTTTTTTCATCTGAAGAATATAATTCACATCTAATTTTAGCTGAACAAAGACATTTCATATTTTATATATTTTATAATAATTAATAGATTTTAATTAACTAAATTACATGGGATTTAATTTTATATTCTTGATGATTTTTTGTTTTTATCAATTATAGACTTAAAGTTTAAATCCGATTTTATAATATCCTTTATGTTTATTATTAGTATATATTAGGGAATTAAAAATAAAAAATAAAATAAAATTCAATCCGATTCGTTAAAGAAATATATATTATTTTTATAATATATCATATGATATGTGAGATTATTAATAATTTTAGGTTTATTAAACCCCCCAAAATACTATTCAAAACCTGGACTAGATTATATTCTATAATTTTTTGTCTCATTTTTCCTCATTTTTCATTATAAGAGGAGTAGCCATTTATAACTTTGAAAGCATTAAACTTCTTTTTTCTAATTATTTTTAATCCCTTTCTGTTTATTATCGAAAAAATAGAGTTTGTATATACTGTATATACGATGGTATGAATATTTGGATAATCATTAAATATTAAAATATCTATATTTATTTACAAAATAAAAAAATCATTTAATTATCTATTTTTAGTTGCTTTCTTCCTTTTATAATTTTCTAGTTCATTAGTACATATATTTGCTTGTCTTCTGAAATTAGTAACTCCTATCTATTTTTTATATATCTACATATATCATTAACATTTCATTTTTTATAAGTCTGTAAGTCTGTAAGCAACTGACAAAGCAAAAATATTAGGACTCATTGTATGATTCTTTATCCTTTAATAATTTCCACAGCAAAAACAGGTTCTCGGCTCAAAAAAAAAAAAATTTATAATTATATGCATATTAATTTTTAAACTAATTTTTAAACTATACAGTTCAACGCATACGATAATAACGTAAATATTTTTTTACAATAACGGAACTTTTTTTGTGTACTTTTATTATTATCTCTATTTATATCTTTTATAATAAATTAACTATACAAATATGTATCGATTATTTCTTTGTTATGATCAACTTACAATACAAATAAAAAAAACGTGCAAAAAAAAACTGCTTTCGAACCTAAATCAAGAAACGTTCGATCCGATATAATTTCATCGCATTTAAAATAATTATTATATTAAGAAACTCAAATGAAAAAATTCGACTTTCTTAAACAATTAATCTATATGAAATGATTCTCATCATTCTAAATAAAAAATATAATCAAATCGAGGAAATTATGTATATTTGTTATTTACCTGATCTATCAACAAAAGTTTATTGGGGCAAGACTCCGTTGGATAAAAAAAAAAATAAAAAATAATAATAATGTATATTCGCCATTTCCATTCCATTACAGAAATGTCCATTAACGTAATTAGCCAAATCACTTTTTTTTTTAATTTCATCTCTTTTCTGCAAATAACATAATTCATGAAGTTACCTATATTTTCTAGAAAAAAAAATATCTCAAAAATCCTTTAATTCTTTTAAGCGAGAACAACGCATATATGCAATGATAAAAAATAAAAAAATTTTTTCAATAACTTTTTTTTTTTTGTGTACTTTCTATTATCTCTATAGTTAATTTCCTGTTTTTCTTTAATCTAGAACTTTTTCTCAGTTGAAAATTAAATTCATTTTACAAAAATCCCCAAAAAAATTATAAACCTCTTTATAATAAATTAACTATTACTACTCATTCGTTTCTAGAAAAAACAAAAGCCTAAATATTATGTCTCATCATTTGCTAAATGAAATGTGAACACGATTAGACACAATACGTCCGGACCGTTAACAACACTATGCATAATTATCCAGCCAAAAACAATGATATTTTGAATTCTGAAAATACACATGTGCAGGTGCTGTTAAATTTTTGATATATAATCGTAAGCTAAAGTCGTTAGCCACTGTTAAGGTACGATAAAAAAATTTAAGATTGTTTCTGTGAAGCAGGCTAAACATGTAGACAGAAAGATCATTTGTGAGCTACAAGATCATAATATTTTTTTTCGATCCATGTTTTGCATTTCCGGTCTAATGTATCTTCTATCCGACCAGATTTCTCAGAATTAATTCCAATAAAATAAGATTACGGAAATGATTCAAAAGACGCTTTTAACTAAGCTTTCAGGAAGCTTATCAATAATATGTTTATAGTCAGGATGGAGGAAATTTCATGTGAAAAATAATGATTAATGAAACATTAAAGAGTGACCTGTTAGTTTCATCAATGACATAAATATTACATATCTTTTAGAACTTTTCATATCACATACTTTTCAAATACTTTTCACATATTTTTCATATAATTTTCATATATTTTGATTTTCTCATATGACGTGTTTTTATTTATAAACTGAGGAATGTAAGAATTTTCACTCTTTTATTTTATGAACTGAGTAATAAGAATCAAACTGTTCAAAAGAAATTTCTTCAAAATTCTAATACAAAAAAAATATGAATAATGGTAATGGAAATAATGGAAATAACAGATTACTTCCAGATCTTTGAAAAATTTATGACAGTTTGAATGCAAAACAAAATAAATTTCTTACACAAGCAACAAAAATCTTGTCCTTGAAGGGTATCATTGAAGAATGTAATAAATTGGTACATTAATATAGAAGATGTTGTTGACTGTGATCCAACCTTCAAGGGATATGATTAACTATTAGCTAAAGGTATGGTAGCTAAACTAAAATATATTACTACTCACTAATTTATACTACAAAAAGTATAATGGTTGAAGGATTTAGATATTGCAGATTTGTTTGAAAGAGGCAAGGCTATGAGATTTTTATAAAGGTTTAACTGAACTATTCACAAAGAACAAGATATAAACTAAACTAAACTGATAATTCCTAATACTAAGTAAAAAACTCTTCCCGTCGATCACTTGTACCAAATATTCCCACAGTAGAGAAATACGATTTTTCACTGTAGTTACATATAAAA